CAGACATAGGAGGCCGAATCTTGGCCTCACTGGTGCACTGTAATGCAAGGAGGCCAACCATAAAAGCTCCTCTCTGGGAGTACTGACTTTCTAACTTGGTGTCCATAATCCGAAATACTCTCCGTTTATCACTCAGATAAGGTTTCGCCCACTCCACCAGATTCTGCTCCACACATGGTTTTGTCTTGTCAATAGCAGGGCGACCCGACAGCAGTTCCAGCAACACAACCCCAAAGCTATAGACATCACATTTTGTAGTTAAACGACCTGTTTAAGCATTAAAAGAAAATCTCCTTACAATGATAACAAGTAAAAATATTAAATTCGATATTTCGCGAATGACTATAATTATTAGATGACACTGCCATCATTACATAACAGAAGAAAAGATTGATATGGAAACATAGCTAGAACAACAATACTTTCTAGAGAAGCTTGCAGAGAAAATACAAGAAGTTCAAAGAAGAAGACAAAAAATTAAGTCCTCTTTATAGAAAACTTAGCAAGAGGGAATAACACGGCATATCTTAAGGTGTTCTCAAATTGACTGTGGCTCACAATCGTTATGGTTCAAATGTTTTGGATACAGCCATATAATTGAGTCGTGCTTAAATACCTAGAATAAATTTGGATAAAAGTTTCATCTTCCTAAATTTGATAAAGATAATTAGAAAGTAGACACACCTATAAAATCTGTCATTGGTTCATTGCTTCTTTTCTACACAGATTATAGGAGTATTTATCAGTTTATTGGAAATGATTCCTTTGTACTTCTGTTAGCTTGATGAATCCTATCATAATACCATTATAATGTGAACATTCACATATATGGAATATTATAGACAGTACTATTGAGCGTATATATTTGCCATTATTGGGTGTTCCCCTTGCAGTGATGCCCATGCATTACAATAGTGACTGAACTAGCTGGCTTCAATTCTAGAAGCCAGGTACAACTGATTTACAAAATTCTAGAATCCATACAAAAAGTTTGAACATTTCTACACATACACAGGTAATAACCATATTGAACAAGTAGTAGGCTGAACTACTAATTAAATGTAATGAGACTTATAAAACAATCAAAAGAAGAATTTCATAACAGAGAGTAAAAATACCAGTAGCAATGTACTCAGGTGCAGCATAGCCTTGAGTACCCAAGACTTGAGTTGAAACATGAGTACGATCACCAGTAGGGCCCGCTTTTGCCAAGCCAAAGTCCGAAAGCTTTGCATTAAACTCCTGCATCCATAACAAAAATAATAAATACTGGAAAACAAAAAACAAGTAATTTGCTAGATTAGATTATCTCCAACCTGCATCCAGAAGCAACAGCTCAAGAAAAAAAAAGAAAGGAAGAGAACCTTCATATATTCTCTTCCACTTTCATTCTTTCCCTCTTTCCCTTTTAATTTTTCCAAATTGTATTTCATAGACACACCTCACAGCTTTCCTACGTCAAGCTCATCAAGGCATGAAACCATCTTATCATAACATCCAAGCATTGCTATTGCTTTTTACTAGCATACCAAATCAAGAAGGATATTAGATGCCTTAAAGTCCCTGTAGATAACTTTTTGCTCAGAATCGTGCAAGAAGGAGAGCCCCCGAGCAGCATCAGTGGCAACTTTCATCCTTATAGCCCAAGAAAGTGGTTGGGCCCCTCCTGACAGAAGACAGCAGATTAGCATCTTATTGCAGTTAAGAGACAAAAATGCATTTGATTTTCAAGATTGTTTGAATATTCCATTAACTTTACTAGAAGGTCTGAAAAGGTATTGATACAGGGTAACATATGACAAGAATGTCAAACATCATGCTTTAACAAGATTTGAGATTAGCTTACTTCTAAATAGATGATTTTCCAGACTGCCTCTAGGCATATACTCATAGACCAAAAGCCGATTTTCTCCTTCAACACAGAATCCAATAAGCTTTACCAGATTTGGGTGATGAAGTTGACCCAGATAATTTAGTTCTGACTGCAAAAACAAGCCAGTGATAAGTGAGAGAAGCCAAGCCCCAGAAGGAAAGAAAAACATTTCCTTGACTGAAGGAACATACCAACCACTCCTTATGGCCCTGGAAACCTTCAGGTCTTAGCATCTTAACAGCAACAACTGTTCCAACTCCAGGCCTTGAAGCCGCAAGGGTTTGCTCATCAATCCACCCCTTGTAAACACATCCAAATCCTCCTTCACCAAGAAAACTATCTGGACGGAAGTTCTTGGTGGCACTCCGGAGCTCATTAAATGTGAAGGCTTTCAAATTTGGGGAAGACAATATTTCACTTTCAGTTCTTGGACTACATGGACCGAGGGATCTGCACGTTTCCTTATCAGCTGTTTTCTTACATGAAGAAGTTGAAGACCGATCATTTTTACCAGAAGCACTATAAATTCCTGGACTAGAGACAAATAATATCATATGTAAATTTCAGGTGTAGGCATAATAAAGACAGAAAATATAGGGCAACAGTAATCCAGAAATAAAATTCCTTCGGAAAAGTTACAAGTTCACCTCATGTGATTTGACCTAATTTCAGTTCAATTCTTGTGATTTTGTATTTTGTCATTAAATTATTAGATTACAAAGCTATTATCTTGTAATTTTTTTAAGTTTTTGTCTTACTTTTGATTTTTTAGTTTCACACTTCTACATGTTCTTGTTTGAAAATCTAAATGTGTAAATATCCTCCAAAAAACTAATAGATTTTTATAAAGCAATAAAAGATCAAACCATTGAGTACTAAATTGTCACAAAAACAACTGCAGTTGAGTACAAGGAACTGCACTTTTCCTAATTTCTCACTATTGCAAATTGAGTACAAATATAGATTAAGAAAGAACCATACAAAAGAGGTTCATGCATATCGTTCTCCAATATTTTTGTTTTTATATTGAGTAAAAAATATACACTAAAAAAGAACCATGCAAAAGAATCTCATGCGTATTTTTCTCCTATATTTTTATTTTTACTTTGCTTGTGTGAGATACATTCAAATTCCTTTTCTTGTTCGCAATCAAGGTTGAGGGGAGAGAAAGAAACAATTTTTGTTGCATTTTTTAATAGGAAAAGAAAATTCATTCACGAGGCACCAAGAGGGTGCCAACTGCCACATATATACAAATGCTAGATACAGGGGTAAGGATTAAAGAGAAACCTATTTAGTCCACAAGCTCTCCCCCATCGATCACAGTCTGGCCTGCAAACTGAAAAGAAAAAGAAAAAGAAAGATTATACATAAAAACTTCAAGATAAAAAGGTTATTAATCCTCACAAAAATTATATTCCTTTATTTTTCCAGACTAAACTAGCAACAACTTATTTTACCCACATTTTCTTTTTGCATTTAAACATACGAGGGAAGTAACATAAGAATATTAGTGAACTGCCATTTTACCAACAATGGAGGTAATATGGTTGGTTTAGCAGAGGTAGGTTTTGCCAAAGTTAGATAAATTCTGGGTCGGAACAAGGGAGAACACCTAGGGTTTCATGTTAAGATAGACATAAGAAGGTCTATAATCATGTGGCTTGGACTTCTTGGATTATTTAATGACGATGATGGATTTTGGAATAGATGTTGTAATAGGATCAACTGGTGCATCACTACAACATGTTTTCTTGTCAGGATGAATGGAGGCCCTTCTTAATTCTTCATATTCTCTAGGACTTGAGAGAAGGAGCCCCTTCTCTCTCTTTCTATTTTCCCTAATTATAGAAGCTTTCAACAAGATGATACTAAGGTAGGGAAGTCAAAGGGGTACCGAGCTAATGTTATTATCTCATCTTCTATTTGCTGATGAATCCCTATTTTCCTGCAAGACAAACAGGTCTTCTAAACTCTACATTTGTGAGCTTCTTTGCTTTCAGGCTTTTCAATGGTTTCCATCTCAAAATAAATCCTGAGAAATTGGTGAGACCCTATTCGGTGAAGGCATTTAAGTAAGTGGTTTTCTTTAAATCTTAAGCTACCAAGTGGATCCTTTTCCATCAAGTATTTGGAGCTTCTGTCATTAAGAATATGGTAGGAGGATGGCAAGTTGGTGGAGAAAAGTATTTATCTAAAATGGGGCAGGTTCTCACTAAAGAGCATCCTCTCTAATCTTCCCATCCTTTCCCATCAGCCTAATCTTTGTTTCTTATGTAATGTGTCCAAAAGGTTTAAGAGTATTCAAGCTTGTAACCTTTGGAGTGGTTTGGAGAAGAAAAAATTCCACTTGGTTAATTGGAATTTCATTAGAAAAACCTTATATACTGGGGGCTTGGATAGTACCATCTTCAATCAAGCTATTTGCAAAAGTGATTATAGAGGTCACTCTCTAATAGCAATAAGCTGAATGGAAGGTGAGCACCTGCTAGACATTGTGTGAGTGTTGTGGTGTGGATAACAGGGATGATTTCTGTGTGCCTGCAGCTCCAGCTTGTGAAAAGGCATTAGAAAGAGTGGCATTAGCTAAGTTTAGCTAATTGTTCTACTTCAGACTTGGCAATAACTAGAGGTTCAGGTTCTTATAGGATCTATGGTGTGAGAAAGTTCCTGTGAGACTCAATTTTCCACCATTTTCCTTTTAACCCATAATAGAGATGCAAAGTTTGGAGCTATCATGATCATATTTGGGGGAGGAGAGGTGGAATTTCCTATCACCTGGCTCTTTCCAGAAATCTAGATGATTGGTAAATAAGGAGTACGTAAATCTCATGGCTGCTTTTGGATTTGTCTCCATCGATCAAAGCTTAACGAACCTCTTGGTGTTGAAACTCATAAAGAATGGTAGTCTCTCTGTTAGAACCTTATGCTGCCTTGCAGAACAGGGACCAGATTATAGATAACTCTCCTTGTAAGCCAATTTGGTATTGTAAGTGTTTGAATACCATATTTTATAATTTTATTAATTAATTATTTATTTATTTAATTAGTTAATATTATGTAATTAAGATTTTATGAAAATAATAATTTTATATTATTATAATTTTAGTAGAATAAGAATTTCTTTTTTAGTAAATTAGAAATTTAATAAATACTCAGGTGTAACAAAGTAAATAGTGAGAAATAAAATTATTTATTTTTTCTCCAAAAATTTACATGTTATCTGTAACGCCCAGAAATTAAAAAAAAAAAAAAAAAAGGCCACGTCAGCAGACCCAGTCAGCAGTCCCAGCCAAACAGGGCCTGCCACGTGGCAAAAACCACTTCGACCGGGGACGGGCCACGTTGGCGATCCGCGTACGCGCGATCGGACGGCCCAGATCAAGCGTGCGTACGGACGGCTCATATTCATTCAAAAACAGACGGGTCTGATTAAAACAAATGTGACGGCTAAGATCAAAAGACAAAATATTTAAATAGATCCTCCACACCTGACCACAAAAACCCTTTCCGCCTGCTCTCGCCGGAGAAGACGAACAGACGTCGGCCGCCGCCTCCCGCCGTCGCTCCGGGGGAGATTTCCGACCGCGATCGAGGTAATTTCTTACCCCCCAATTCGTTTTTCTTCGTGGATTTTCCTGGGGTTCAAATCGGAGCTAAATTCTCGGCAAATCGGCCCGTAAACACGGTCTAA